GGCCGTGGGGGGGGGGGGCGGGGGCTTGTCTGCCGTCGACCAGAGCCCAGGCCTTTTCCATCATGGCTCCGGCTCTGAAGTATCGGCATAGGGCCCCCAGGGTCCCCATCAGGGCATAGGGGGGAGTAGGGTTGCCAGATCCAGTTTGGGAAAATCCTGGGGATTTGGGGATGGAGCCTGGGGAGGACAGGGACCTCAGTGGAGTACAATGCCACAGAGTCCACCCTCCAAAGCAGCCATTTTCTCCAGGGGAACTGATCTTTGTAGTCTGGAGACGAGCTGTAATTCCAGGTCCCACCTGGACGATGGCATCCCTAAATAGGCTCCCTGAACATGTCAGAGTTTTTGTCCAAATACCAGAGTGTTGCCCCCAAACGTCCCAAATGTGATGACGTCATCTGACGTCATCTGGGCCAGTGACGCGGGCACGTCGCTGCATGTCGACAGAGCCTCTCTCTTTTGGTGTGGCGGTTAGGAGAATGGATTCTGATCTGGGAGAACCGGGTTTGATTTCCCCACTCCTCCACTCGCAGCTGCTGGGTGACCTTGGGCAAGCCATGGTTCTGTCAGAGCTGTTCCCTCAAGGGCAGTGTGTGTCAGAGTTCTCTCAGCCCCACCCACCTCACAGGTAGGGCTGCCAAGTGGGGGCGGGGGGTGGGTAAACCCCCGCTTTGGAGGCCCGATTTCCGCCGCCGCGGAATTGGGCCCCGGGGGGAACCCCACCCCTGGCGTGCACGTCACTAGGAAGTGACATTATGACGCTGGGCATGCTGGGGGCGGGGCCACGACCATCCAAGGGGAAAGTTAGGAGCGTGGATTCTATGGTTTCCCCTTGGATGGTCGTGGCCCTGTCTCCAGCGTGCCCAGCGTCATAACGTCACTTCCTAGTGACGTGCACACGGCACGTGCGCGCTTTGCACATGCACACGCCAGAATCCACTCAGGAGTCCCCCGCTTCAGAGGTGAGTACTACTTGGCAACCCTACTCACAGGGTGTCTGTTCTGGGGAGGGGAAGGGGAAGGAGTTTGTAAGCCGCTCTGAGACTCCGAGGGAAGGGCGGGGTACAAATCCAATCTCTTCTTCTTCTTTTTTTGGGGTAAATCCCCCCGCCAGCCCGCTGATTGGTGG